GCCCTCTTGCAATTCAGACAGATTATGTTACAATATTGATTTATTGTAGTTTAGAAGACAGGCTGTTTAACTCCCAGAATCAAGTAAACGCTATTTTTTTTTCAAGTTACAGATTCCTTTCATTTACATTCTTGCTCACCCATGGCCCTATATTTAGTTTTATTTTCCACTAGAGGCACAACTAAATGATGTCATGTTCTCAGTGTTCCTTTAGTCTTAGCCTATATTTTCCTTGTACTATCTGACAAATTGTTAGTATATAGTATTTATATTGAAGTTCCAGTGCTGAAGCAACATGGGATAAAGCTCATTAGAACTAAAATAATTATTCTGGCCTTTTTCAGCCCACTATTTATATTAAGATTCAGCTAATCCTGCCAGTTTCAAACTCCCAGCCAAACTTTTTTGCAGCTGCTCCTCCAATTATACTATTTATGCTTGGACATGTAAACTACCCTATCCTTTTGAATCGTATCTAAGATACTACTACACTAACTTATTCTATGCACATATGAATTGGGTACATTTAATTAGTTATCAATTAGAAAGAATATTTTTCTAGTTGTCAGTCTTAAAAAAATTGTTTGTTACAAGAAAGGTAACATTTGTGTCAAAATTAATTACAGTAAATTTTTACTGACAGTGTTAGTTACAGCAGCATAAAAATGGTTTGTATTCCTGCTAATATAGTATATATATGTATACTGCACTTAGTTTAAATCACAGGGTAAAAGCCTTGTTTTAATTTTCATATTGAGGACTATTAGATCGTGTAGATGTTGAGCTTAAAATTATTCTAAGCACTGTATTATTTTTCAGGCTATTTCTTGTCAAGATAGCATCAGCTGAGAAGCAAGCCTTATCTAAGTACCTTGGCTTGACTTCCCCCAAAGGAACTACAGAAGCTGAGGCTCTGACCTATCGTGTAGATTTTACCAAAGCAAGTATGGAAGTACAGATCCTGATGCATGAAATAAAGCAAGGCTTGAAACACACTATACAAAACGGACATTATTGGAACATTTCATAATGGACATTTCAATATAAATGCATCTTTGACTAGTGCAAGTGGACCTTGCTAATGATTAAAAGCTATTTCTCTCATTTTTGGAAAATAAAATTGAATATTTGGCTGAAGGGAAATGAACGGTGTGCTCTTACTTAGAAGAGTACTATTTCATGTTTTCAGGAAATCATCTATCCTTCTTTCCCACCCTTGCCCATCCATAAAGAAAAAAAAAAAATCTAAATTCAAGACAAACAAGGGAGGAGGAGAAAAAGATCAAAAACAGAAAAGATCAAGTTCCTTATTTTGTATCTCTGTAAATAGGTAGTGATTTATTAAGGTTTTTTTTTTTTACTACTACTACTCCTCTTTCTCCATAAAGCATGTACTTTCTTCTTTTTTATTCATAGAATCATTTCTAAAGAAAATACATTCTAATCCTTTACAAAGAGAACAATGAAATAATCTTTGCTAATGTTAAGCTCATCAGTTTCCAGTTACTTATAAAATTATATGCAGATTATATTAAGCCTCATGCATTATGAACAGCATAGTTAACTCTGACACCATCATTTATGAAGCTTATGAGAAAAAAAGAATAGCTCAACTATTAAGAATACAGGTTGGGGTGAGTACATGGGGCCACCTGGATATGGAGTCTTTGAAGCCCAGCAGCGTTGTCTTTTGTTACCAGAAGTTGGCATGTGTCTACAACCAAAGCAAAACCAGCCTTCTACTAAAAAAGGGGGCGGGGGGGTAAGGAGGAAAGAGAGCATGAGCACATCACAGTCATTTTCCAAAATGTAACTGCACTAAAACAGGTTAGGTCTCAATGGCTCAAATAACCCAGAACCATTGTTCAGGCAGTGTGACAGTTTTAGAGCTTCCTGAATTTCTGTATATTGTTTCCAAAAGGTATTTTTTCATGCCAAAAAAACAAGGTCTTCTTAACAAGACTTCAAAACACAGTCACCTTTACATGCGTAGTCCATTAACATGTTAAAACATTAAATATTATATAATCAAATTAAATATAGTTATGAACAGCTGCTGAAAATAAGTTAATGCCAACTTAAACTTATTTTGAGAAACAAGATTTGCGCCGATAGTGCAAATTGTAGCACTTGTTGAACAGAAAAATGTTTCTTTACTCAAGTTTTCAAAATACTGAAATGAAGATTTAAACAGATCCATGACCTCAAAATGCAAACGTTTCTGGTTCTTTCTTTATAGTTTAATATAAAATTAAAATCCCAGCAGCAGTGCATTTTTCTGTGTAAAGGGAAAGGTGTTTGTTATTTCTTCACTGAATCCTTTCAGACTGATTTCTTTAAAATATCGGGAGGGGACCACAGTCATTTCTCCCTGTTGCAGATTAACAAAGCTGTTCTTTCTTCTGGTCTTTGATGTTTTTTTAAAAATGTGCATGTGGCTGCTTAGGCAAGAAAAATAAGTGTGTCACAAGATGTCTCCTCTGCTTCTGCAGCTATCCAGCAAATGTTTACCAGAGGCATGCATTTTTTATGGTAAGATAAAACTTTTATAAGAATCCTTAACTGTTATTCTATCCAACATGAAAACCAATACAACAGATACATCTAATTAGTCAGCCACTCAATACCTTTCACTGCACAACTGAGTCATGCTCCTTTAAAGTAACACTAAAATCTTATAAAGCAACATCTAAAAACTTTTTTCAGAATGTTTTAGATGCAAGAGACGCACCCCCACACATCCTCCCACACACCCCAATAAATACCTGAAAATTCATTTTTACACGAACTTTGTTGAATAAGAACTGGTCCCACATAATTAATGGTAAAATCCCGTTTTTAAATTGGACAAACATGTAAAAGCAAAGGATATTTTTAACATAAAATCATACATACTAAGTGTATATACTCCAAGTCAGTAAAGTTTTAAATAAGTCATTCTTAATTCTGTAGTTTTTTTTCTATTAACATCACTTTTTATTAAAAAAATAAAAGTTTTCCTATATGCAACATGTGTATTAGCTTAATGTAGGACTGAATATCTCAAGATCTTAAACATTAAATGATAATAAACCAAACATTTTTATTCTTCACATTTCCATTTTTAGATCTCAAAATGGGGAGGATAAAAGCTCCAAACTCAAGCCTAAGAAGAAAACCAAATCACTCTAAAGCATTAAATATGAAAACTGTTCCACAAAATGTTAGAAAAGAAAACACTCTATTGATCAAATTAGGATATGTTACTTATAATTTTTCATTGGGAAGAGAGTGAGAGGAAGACTGGATTGAAAAGGAAATATATATATCATTGTAATTGTTTTTGCATCTTTCAATAAGAGTTCTCCCTCATGCCTGGATCGCTGATTTATTTGCATTTGTATCACAACTAGTCCAAAATTTTTACTCCCAAGTAGTTTTCCTTTCAATGACTTCTCATCCTCAGTCTTGTTTTCTTTTTAATCCAGAATTTCTCTAACAATGGCAAGGAGTTAAACTTATAGCAAGAAATGACTGGAGAAGGGTGTGCTACATATACTTAAATTTTATGCATCAAAAGGGTTCCTTGGCACTCGTATGTAACAGGAAATCCCAAAGTCCAGATCTTCCCTAACTGACATGGGTAGTACTCAAACTCTCTCAGATCCCCAGCGCATAGAAGGAAGAAGCATGAAATGTTGATGCCCTCACAAATCCCACGGGCAATTCTGTGCAAAAGGTAACAACCCAAGCTTTATATTCCATTGTGTGCAGTCATATTGCCTTGATAAACCCACCCTGAAGACAGGTTGTTAGAGGTAACTATCCATGCAAGATTTCCCTTGAAGTATGAGTCATTAGAAGCTATGCTTTCAGGCTCTAGTGACAGAAGAGCTGATGTAGAAATACAAGCTTCTGAGGGATGGATTTGGTCCTGTGCTTGAAGCTGATCCCAAGGACCTACAGGACTTGAGAGCTGAAATCTCCTTCTCTTTTGCTTTGAAGGAGGGAACCAGAACTTTCAAGTCCCAGCAGAAGAATCCAGAGAAAACTCTGCAAATGGAAGGAAACCCTTGTTTTTCCCACCCCTCCGGCAGACCATTTTTTCACAGAAAGAGGCAACTTCCTTGCAAAAAGGCTTATGTTAAGGAAAGACTAAATTATATAAGCCCCATGCAATGACAGGTTCTCTTTCATCTGAGTATCAAAACCTTTTTAATATTTAAGGGGCTGTGCAAGGTAGTTCTGCACTACACGAAATATTGGCATTTAATGTTGTACTTTTAAATTACTTTAAGTGAGATTACACTATGAAAAATATCCAAACAAATTAATTCCAACACCTTAGTTTGATGCTACCTAAAGCCAAGAACAAACAAATAAGCAAGCAATGAACACTGATATTTGGGGGATTGTGAGACTATTACAAAAAATAGTAATCATACACTTTTTTTTAAATGTTCATTACTTAGATAAAGCACATATGAATGCAACATTCAGAATTGTAACATAGAAAATGTAAATGTGGGCAATCTGTTATTTCAAGTACACTTACCAAAATACAATTTTTATAATGAAGAAAGTCTCAAAATACACCTGTACAACAATTGGGATCCACAAAATATGATTCCATATCATCACTTAAGATCACTTTATTTAAAATTGCTTTTATAATACTGCTTGAATAGTAATCTCTGGTCAAAGAACATTCTCCCTCTCAATCCCCACAAAGCAACTGCAAAATTTTAATTGTAATGCATGTCTTCTCATAACCCCAAATCTGAAGCATTCCCATTTAACTATTACACTGTCTACACTTAGGTACTGTATGTAAGATGTGAATCACCTTCCCTAGGGCCATAGTTCATCTAGACCATGTAATTCATTCAAATTATTTTGCATTTGAAATCAGAATAATCTTGTAAGGATAACTGAACAGGGTCAAAATATGAATTCCATCATCTTGTTGCCCGATCATTCCCTATGTGTTAATTAATTAAACATTACAATTTTACTGAAAAAGAAAAAAAGTTAACCATGTCATCCTATAAATATTTTATTTATTTGCTTTATGTTTAGAAGTTGCTATTTAAGTTCTATTAACAGAAATAGATAACAAAAAGCTTCCTAACAAGTGAAAAAAAATAATTACAAATGCTGAAAAAGTTGGCCTCATTAACATATGTACAAACTTGCTTACTTAATACATATCTTTTTGGGAATTTATTAATTTTATGACACACATTTATACAGGCATTAACATTCCCAAGTAACTTTGAGCAGAGAATACTCCAATTCTTTAGTCTGGGCAGACAAAGAAAGTATACTTCAGTTTTTGACTAACATGCAACAGACATTTTATTTAGTCTGAGCTGCTGTTGATAAATTGTTCTGTTCCTTCCTGCACAGGTCTTTCTGTCAGACTCGTATCTTTCTGTCCCTTCTTCTCTTTGTTCTGCTGTTCCTGCAGCTTCAAGATTATGTTTCTTATTTCTTCTCGTTTAGTTTTCATTCTAGGTCTTGGAAACCAGTCCATTAAGTTCATTGGCAACTCAAAATTGAGAATGGGATTCTGGAAAGAATTGAATTGGATATTATAATACAGTGATACTAATTAAAAGGCCACAGAGAACTTCTTTATCTGAACCAAACTGAAAATTTAGAACAGTCATCAAAATCCCTCTTCTTATAAAAGAGGATCTCTACAATTTATGGTCTTGGAAAAAAGAGTTTTCTATATTCATATGGAAGCTACATTAAATGTGATCCATAAAATATTCATGGAAACTGTTTATATTTTAGAATTAAAAAAAACAACCTTAATAAATATCCACTACATTTGCTAATTTATAATGTAAAATACTTGCTTTACAGTTGAATCACAATCACTTCACCTACCACTGGAAAAAAAGTTCTCACCTTTTTCAGCAAGCAGAGCAAATTTATTTTTGCTTTGTTTTTTACTTAGGAGCAAGCAAAGTTTGACTGATCTAATACTAATATGTTACTTACCCTAAGCAAAACATAACAGATTTGCTGACACTGACTTTTTCTGAAAGTCTTGCACCACACCACTACAGTAGAAATCCACCTTGACGCACGCAGAATTTAGATGGTACAGTAGTAGAAACATTGGAAGCCAGTTTTAAATTAAGTGAAACTACAAATGCTAGTAGTGCATTACTGGTTTTCAGAAAAATGTCAATGTATAAGCAGACAACATGGATAGAAACTGTGCATAGGCTCTATCTTCAACTGGGCTAGACGGGCATAAGCACACTCTAAAACGAGGATAAAATTAAGGTCACTGTAAAGAAAGTTAGAATGAAATCTGACAATAATATCCTGGATAGATGAGGAATAGAAGGCTTTTAGAATTCATGTCACAGTAGGCATGATCAGTGTCTATCTCTGGAAATGGCAGAGATTATCTAGTTTGAAAACTAATGTATGGTCCGATATAATTAGCGTATTTATTTAAATCTAAGACTTTTTTTTCTCCCCAGTCAGCATGGGAGAAAAAGCCCCTCATCTTAGGTTGACTTAAAAAATGTACGAGGGGAGGAGGGGCAGCTGCTGAAGCTCTTACTATGGCCCTGAACCTGGGTCAGTGCAGAATCAGTCCCACAGCAGCCACCTGAGGCCAACCCCCCCAACCATCTCTGCTTGCCCTCTCCAGCTTCTGCCCCCCCCGCCCCACCAATTTCCACCTCCCTTATAGTCGGGTGGAGCTTGGCTCAAATCAGGCTGGGTTCCCTCCCGAACACAGAGCACATGAAAACTCCTTCGCCTGACCTACCAATCAGCAATGCCACCATTGTTGCAGTTCCATGTGCTATGCTCCAGGGAGGGGAAGAGAGTCCAGGCAGCACCTGACAGTAACGGAGGGGTGGAGGGGGAAGAGGCAGAGACTCTGGGCAACTGGGGCTGGGAAGGGGATGCTGGGAGGGGGGGGTGCAGAAAAGCTGCAGGGGGAAAAGTTGGGTGGGGGGGGAACAGGAGGCAAGGGGACCACCCGACCCTCCCAGTCACAGCTTTCTCTGCTGTAGCAGTGGAAGGAGGGCAAGGGACAAATTTAAGACAACTCTCCCACACTGAGATTCTACATCTGGGAAGTTATAACAAATTTATAACTTTTCCATATATAAAATCTGATGAATGCAGGGTTATCTTAAATTCAGGGTCATCTTAGACTTCCATAAATACAGTGCCTGTGTGCAAGTTTCCTAACTGATAGTAGCTGTCTTATCAAAGAGGTTTGGGTTTCAAAACAAACTAGGTTTTTAACCTGGTTACAAAAATTAAGGCAAATTTGCAATAGATGTGTCAGGAAAAAGAACATATTTATCTATTTTGTGATCACCTCCCTTGCTCCATACTTCCTAATTCCACTTGTTCTAGCAAGTGTTCCAGCCCTTGCCAAATGACAGATGAGAGATGTTAACTCCCCACTATCTTTTTTTAGTCTTGCTATATGAATGATAGTTGAAACATAATTACAGGACTTCTGTGTCATTTTAAAATAGATTAGTAACTTAAACTGATGGGCTTTTAAATCAGCCCAAGTTGTTAAACATGCATTGTTATACAAGTTTAGAATAGCATTTCCTCTATATATTATTTCCTATAATATGATGCAATTCCCAAGAGAACTGCTACAGGCAAGGGCATTCATTTGCAGTTCTCTGGCAAATGAAAGATTCTTCACAAGTCATGACAGGAGGAAAGACTAAATGTACCATAATATAGCAACCACTTTACAATGAGAAAGAAACTAAAAATTGTTTACTGACTGTTGGTCCCTAATTTCTTCCCCATTTGCAGAACCTGACTCTATAGTGTAGTGGATAGACATGGAAAGGAGCATATTACAAAGAGTTCTTGTCTGCCATGTCTCCCCAGCTTAGATATTTTGGTAAGGCTCATTTCCCATGTGGAAGTTGGCACATGGCTTTACTTCAAGGTAGTGAAATGTGTTTAAGAAAAAAAAAAAACCAGCAAAAAAAATCCCACATATCTTTAAAGAAATGCTTATCAAACAAAGAAGCTTATCAAATTCATATAGTGGCCTTATGAAAGTCAGTAGATTTTATACCACTTACTTCAAAGGGATCAGCAGCTATAAAAAAAATTCAGACCTTTTCCAAAACCATTGCTACCTTCCAACATTTATATTGTGGGATTTCTGTCAATCTATACACGAGAAATGGCACATATCCAAAAAAAAAAAAAAGAATGGCTTCACCTTGCAAATGGACTTTGAATTCATAATCCCAACTTCACTGAAATGGTCACCATAGTTTTAACTACAGGCTACAAAATAAATTGTGCGACAGAAGCAAGGAAACTTACCTCAAAAAAGCTCTCCACATACTGTAATACATATACTCCACAATCACTGAAATTGTTTTGTTGGGGCACTTTTGGATTGGAACCTTTCATGACATCTTTGGAGAAACTTCTTTTACTACCCTTCCTGACTTCCCATTCTACTTCCAAGTATCTGAGAAAAAAGGCATATAGAAAAAAAGTCAGGACATGTTTTCTTGTGGAATTTTGCAAATATCTGTTAAAATTCTGAAAAAGAGGTTTAGAACTTACTCCCTTAGTGTTTTTACAACATTGGATCGAGAAGGGCCTCTCAATGAGTCCATAAGCAAAATGCAGGGCCTAGGAAGAAACACAATTTTAAAGATACCAAGTATTTTACAGACGCTCAAAAAGTAAAGCAAGTTATACTGCAACTTGCTTTGAAAACAAGCACAAGCGCAAAGTAAATTTGCTAGATTTAACATTTCTATAAATGAGTTACTTGTTGCGCATAAAACTAGCTGAAGAATAAAAGAACAATTACTTTTTCTTTCAGTATGTTACCTATGCATTTGATCAATCTTTGTGTAAAGTCACTTTCATGGTTTCTCCTGCAATATGTGAACTGTTTTGCTATATCAAAGATTAAACCTGTGCTTGCTTTGGTTTGGTATGGTTTGGCTTTGCATTTGGGTCTCTTTCACAGAACTGCAGGAAAAGGAAGATGCTAAAAAAATTATAGGGAAATTTAAGGGCAGCTTAATACAGACACTAGTCAACTTTTTACTCTTTTGAAACTGATTATGTTCTTTTAAGCAAACAGCAAAGCAACAATGCCCCCCCAAGTTAATTTTAAATGTACCTGTGGACAGCATACACACCTTATTTTTAATGAGTAACACATTTGAATAATGTTTAGAAACTTGTGTGCTGTTCTAAACCGTCACAAAAAATACCTGCATTAAAAAAAAAAATAAAACCCCAAAACACTCTCTAGCAGCTAGGAAAAAAAGAAATGAAAACTAGAATCTCTTTAACGTTGCATACACATTTAAGTGAAAGGGACTTAAATTCTTTACTGCCCATAGTAGTAAACCAAAGAAAAATAGTTTTATAAGTCAGCCTTTACTGAAAACAGCCTTTACAAAAGGTAGACTGCATTAATACTTGTAGCTTATTCACACTCCTCATCGATGGACAGCCTTTGCCAGTGACAGAAAACAAATGTAGTTTGTACAGTACAGAACAACACTGTAAAATATATTAAAGTAAAAATGCTACATTTTTCAAAGTAGAATAGATATTTTTAACTATGTCCCTAGTAGTAATAAGCATACCGGTTTAGTATAAGTACATAACACTGCCCTCCAAACAAGGTCTGCTACATTCACAAACATTTAAAAATTTTAAAATATGCTCCTGGAGACTGAAGCTATTTGAATTAATGAAAAGAAATTAAATTTAAAAAATTCCCATACCTTAGGGAAAAAAGGAGAAAAAGGAGATTTTAACACCAGGGGCTTGTTAGTAATAGGGAGAAACTTACTGTCACAAGTGACGATATTAAAGGACTTGTATCTTTTAAAGTTGAGTAATGTGTGCATTTTTATAGACTTGATTCTAGGTAAAATAATCCACAGTCCAAGTTTTTACTTAGGCCCAAATTAGTTCTGGGGTAGAAAAATGGATGTGAATAGTATGAGACTTAAGTCACAGCAACTCAAAGTGCATTTTTAAAGCCTACAAACTAGATTTCTACTTTCTATAAGCAAAGTATAAAAATGGTTTTTGGATAATGCACATGCATAACACCATTATGCTGTTGTTACTGTACGTAAAGTGGCTATATAAATATAAGGTGCAAGAAGCACCAAGAGAGTTGTGTCCTCACTCCTGCTTGGCAGAGAAGCAGGAAGCCTTGGTGGTTCGGAGAGAGAGTTTGCGAATGGAGTCTCTGCCTGATTTGGGCTTTGTGATCTGGGTTCATTTTGGTTGCCATTTGCAGGGCTGTTTGGGCAGCAAGCAGGGACGTGCTCTCAGCTCATCAGTCTAGCCACTGAGAATAGTGTGAATTAGGAAGCAGGGCTCACTTGGGCAAAAAGGTAAGTCAGCCAGGGTCCAATGAACACATTGGGGGGAGGAAGGGGAAGCAGGGGGGAAGGCAACTGATCTCAAGAGTTTTCCGGCATGTCCCCGTCCAAGACATGTAGGGGAAGGCTTGTGGCAAGAGGTGTTTCCAATTAATACCCTCAAGAACCAGGTTTTGGGGGTTCACTGGTCCCAGCTATCAGGGCTGGTAGACTTAGCTGAACTGACAATTTCTAGAACTCTGGCAAGGAGTAAGCAGATGAGGACCTGGCGAAGAACGTACTGCATTTGAAAGCTTGTCTAATTCTATTCCAGCTACACAGTTTGAGGATATCAATAAAATAGAAGAATATAAATTATAAAATATTATATATAAATATTTATTAGAATTTATATAATGTATTATATAAATTATCAATAAAAGATATCCTCGTGTCTCAGAATTTCTGGATCATCACAGCCACAATATCACTCTTACACTACCATACACAGAAACCAGTTAAAGACAGGTACAGAAGGTAGTGGCCAGGTTCAGAAGCACCCACACAGACAAGGACTTGATCGACACAAAATGCATAAGGAGATTCTTCAGGATTGTGGAAGAGGAAGAGCCATAGAAAGAACTGGATAGTATGTAAGACCTGGATACTCAGGAAGGTGAGAGCTCATAGCTTTTCACCTCTGGCAGCAGAGAGTGCTCTTCTGAAACCCCAGCTATTCAGGTGAAAAACAGATATGAAGCCCTGGTATTGGAAGAGAAGTAGCCCAAACCAGTGGTGCTCAACCTTCAGATGCCATGGGTGGGAAGAGTGATGCCAGGCCAGTCTGGCAGTATCAGGTCCCATGCCACTTCCACTCAGCCAGCAATGCCAGTCTGGGCCCCACATCAACTCCTTGGGGTCCTGCACTGATTGAGCATCCCTGGCCTAGTCCAGTGGGACAAGAGGCAAGACCATCCACCTCAAAGGCTAGGAAAATCAAGACCACTCTCATCCAGAGGAAAGGAACAATGGTGGTGGTTGGCTGCTCTCTTCTGCTAGGGATGGTGCCTGACCTGTTGTCCACTGCCCATATCCTAGGTGTTAAGAAAAGGTTACCAAGACTGACCTGGCCCTCTGACTGCCACCCGTGACAACTACTGCTCATTCATGTGGGCACTAACGATACTGCCAAAGGTGACCTTATACAGAACAAATGACAATTGGTGTCTAGGTACAAGGTGAAACAAACAAGGGACTCGGGTTCTCTTCTCATCAGTCCTTCTGGCCAGGGGTAAAGGCCCAGGTAGGAACTGACACATCCTTGAGATCAAGTGTGGCTGCATAAACAGTGTCACTAGAAGAGCTTTGCCTGCTTTGGTGGTGGGGAATCCAGGAAGGAGTACTACTGGGAGGAGATGGGAGCCACCTGAAGGCAGACGGAGGAGCAACAAGTAAGAGAAGGCAACATGGGCAGCCTTAACATACTCGGAAAAAAATTAGGGTGATCAGGGGTCAGCAACACTTCCCAGCAGTGGCCCAGAAGCCCCAGATTGAGTCCCAGGTAAGCCCATGCTAGGATCCAGCTGCCCCCACCTCCATTTTTTCCCCACCACAGCATGGCAGGGGTGAAGTGCCTGGCCATGACTAGGGACAAGTGAAGCCCCTCACTCCATGGGCCAGATCCAGCCCCCAATTCCAGGTTACTGACTCCTGATCCAAGATGTTTATACACTACTATGGGAAATAAACAGACCTGGAATTTATAGTAGGAGGTAGGTAGGCCTGTTGGAAGTCTCAGGGCCAAAGTAAGAGGGGAGAACAGCAAGGCTGATGGCATGGTAGGTGTCTGCTGTAGACCACCAAACCAGAAAGATGAGGTGGGTGAGGCTTTTTTTCCAACAACTAATGGAAGTATTTAAATTGCAGGACCTTGTGCTCACGGGAGACTTTAATTCCTTTAACATCTGCTAGGATGGTAAGAGCAGTGCACAAGCACTCCAAGTTTTTGGAGTGTTTTGGGGATAATTGTTTGGTACAGATGGTGGAGAAGCCATGGTAAAAATTGTGGGCGGAGGGAGGATGGGACTTTTCTCTATTTTCTGCTCACAGGGAGGAACTGACTCAAAATATGGAGGTACAAGTTAAATTGGGTAACAGTGACCATGATGTGACAAGAGTTCAATATTTTAAGGAAAGGGGGGAAAAAAAAAAAAAAAAAAAAAGAGTAGCAGAGTAAAGATGCTAGACTTCAGAAAAGCAGACTAACAAACTAAGGGAACTGGTGGGCAGAATCCCCTGGGAGGCAAGCTTGAAGGGGAAAAGGAGTCAAATAGAGCTGGTTTTACTGCAAGGAGGCCATATTAAGGGTGAAAAAAAACCAGGCTATCTTGATGTAAAAAAAAAAAAAAAAAAAAAAAAAAAAAATTGCTCCAAAAAATTGTGGCCCGATTAAGCTTGCACTTTCAAAAAGCTTCAGGCTATCTTGATTTAAAAAAAAAAAAAAAAAATTGCTCCAAAAAATTGTGGCCCGATTAAGCTTGCACTTTCAAAAAGCTGACACTCAAAAAAGAATCCTAGAAAAAGTGGGAACCCAGTCTTATTTTTAGGGAGTAGCATAGGAGTATTGCATAGGCAGGGAGAAAAATCAGGAAGGCCAAAGCAAGAACTGACTACAGGTATCAGGGGATATAAAACACAAGAAAAATGCATTCTACAAGTATATTACAAGTGAAAGAAAGACCAAGGAAAGCATATGTCCCTAAGTAAATGCAGAAGGCAATCAAATCATGGGTGATGCAGAGAAGGCTGACGTATTTAATATATTCTTTACTTCAGACTTCACGAACAAGGTCAGAACCCATTTGACCACTTCAGTTGGAAACAAAAAATATAGGAGGAGATAAATAACCTAGTAGTAGAAGAATGGGTTACAGATATCGTGAAACATGTCATCAAGGAAACTATTTCTAAGTGCCTAGAGAAGAAAAAGGTGATCAGGAACAGTCCGCATGGATTTATCAAGGGCAAATCACACCTGGCCAACTTGATTTCCCCCTTTAAATTAAAGCTCATATGAAAGGATTCAAAAAAGAACGGTCACATGTCTGTTTTTTTGTTGTTGTTAAGTGTTCTAGGAACTACTGTAAATATATAATTGTGATTAACATAGGCCTCATTTGGGAAAAAAGCTTTATCCCTTATCCATGAGAATAACCAATATGGATTTGTCAAGGGTAATTTATGCTTGATGAACCTCATTTCCTCCTATGACAAGGTGACAGGCTTTGTAGATGGGGGAGATCAGTGATGTGATGTACCTTGACTTCAGCAAGCCTTTTGTTCACTTCATTAATGATTTGGACAATGGGACTGAGTGCACACTTTGCAGATTTGAGGGTGACAAGCTAGGTGGAGTTGTAGATACTCAGGAAGACAAGATAAGGATTCAGAATAACCTTGCCAATCTGGAAAAATAGTCCAAAATTAATTAAATTAACTTCAGTAAGGACAAGTGCAAAGTACTGCATGTGGACTGGAACAACTACATGCATAAATACAGACTGGGCAACAACTGGCTAGATTGCAGCGAAGGACCTGGAACTTATAATAGACCAGAGGCCGAGCGTGAGCCAACAGTGTGCTCCTTTTCCAAAAAAAAAAGGCAACAGCACAGTTGGCTGTATTAACAGGAACGCCACTTGCAAGTCAAGAGAAGTGATTCTTCTACCAAATATAGAATTGGTGAGGTCACACTTAGAATACTACATCCATTTTTGGGAAGAGAACTTAAATGAAAAATGTAGACAAATTAGAAATAATCCAATAGAAAGCAACAAAAATGATTAGAGGCTTAGCAAGCCTGACTTGCCAAAAAAAGTTTGGATAATTTAGTTTGGAGAAGAAAAGGGGGTGGTGGAGGGGTAGTGCTGGTATATGATGACAGTCTTTAAATATCCCAAAGACGGTGGTAGACTTGTCTGTGATTGCTAGAGACAGGAAGCAAACTGAAGGAAAGGAAATTTAGTTTGGATGTAAGGAATAAGTTATTATGAAGGTAGTTTAGTACTGGAACAGATTACCTGGAGAGGTTATGGAATCTTTCTCCTTGGAAGTTTTTAAGAGCAAGTTAGACAAACACTCTTCTAGGATGGTTTAGACAGGGATGATTCTGCCTTGAGCAGGAGATTGTCTAGATCTCCTGAAGTCCCTCCCAACCTCACTTCTCTATAATTCTAGAAGCATCTGCGATTTCTATGACTCTAGAGGAATCTTTTCCCCCCCTTTTACAGGATAGTATCAGCACAAAGAAGGGAAACTGATAAAACAATTAGGATTAGAAGATGATGAAAGAAGAAAAAATATATTATAGACATACTAGTAATAAAAATCAGAATTTGGAAGCTTGCATTTTTGTCACATTAAATAAACTATAAGTTGTGATCCGTTAAAAAATATTGTGTAGATCTACTCTCCAAGAAAAAGTTTTTTGTTATATATTTGAATTTAACAGCAATGGACAATGGAATGTATGAGAGAAGCACAGCAGTAGTTACTATTTACTATTGTGAAATATTATGACCATGGAAAGGAACACATTAAAAAAAAATTGTTAATATAAGAGAAGGACCTGGATACATTTCTGGCAATAAAATGAAAAAAATAAAAAAGCAAAAATGTTATGATCTCAGTATTATTAGCCCCTTTTCTAGTTTGGGTAATTCATAATTAAGGCCTTGATTCAGCATTAATTTAAACTTATTCTTTAACTTTAAGCAAGTGCCTATCTACCGTATTTAACATGGGAGAAAAAAGGTCCTCATCAGTTTTCAGAATTCAGTTTTATAAAGTATTGATGCACAGTTCATTCCAATCCTCATAATGCTTACTGTTTGCAGATATTGGGCTTCAGATGCCACTGTCCCATTTCTGAATTACAGTTATCATCTACCAGGCCATCATCGCTGCTGTCTTCCTGTAAAAGCAAAATGGTTCTGGGTATTCAAAGGATAAAGCTATTTATTAAATGGAATTGAAATGAAAATGTGTTATTATAGTTATCCTACCTGCTTAAGAGCAAGTTTAATACAGAACTGCTAGCTCCCCCCTAATCCGTAAGTTCCGAGTATCTTTTACATATGTGATTTTCAGACTCATATGACTTCATCTATTCTATACTGAGAAGATACTGAGTAGGACTGGGAACACACAGTGAATGCCAACTTCTTGGGAAGGTCTGCCACAAATTAAGCCCACACTGTCCTTAATTACCACTTAAATCCCCCTCCCCTACTGAATTGGCTGCTCTGGTTTCCACTCTGTGCTTGGTGATCCCTCTGCCCTATCCTTTCTTCTTCTTGTCCTGCTCCCTTCCACATGCAGAGGCTAGTCATGCCACTTGTGGCAACCATGCCACAGGCTAGAGGCAACAAAGTTGTTAAAACCAACGTTTTCAGCTTCAACCTTAACCTATGTTAGATTTCAGTGGAAATTATATGAAATACTCCACACAAGCAAGATTAATCCCCCCCTCAAAACAACCAACCAAACTTGTTTAGTAGGGTTTTGGTGGGGGGGTGGGGG